GATCTCGGCTTCGGTCTCGTATTCGATTCCCTTCATTGTTTTGCACGGTTCGTCTCTTTACTATTTCCTTTTGATTTTGTGGGATAAAGATTGTATCTTCGATTGGTTTGTTTTGGTTAGGAATTGGGGATCAATGCAAGAATAGAGGGATGACGCAGTTCACGGAGCTTCTCAGTAACTACAGTGGAGTTCAAGGATACTGCTTGTATGCTCTCTTTATGACATCTTTGATCTTTTAATTTAATTTTGTTTTCTGTAGGTAATTTTAGGTAATGGAATAGAGAAGTAAATGTTGCCAGTTATCACTGTGACGGGCCTTGCTAATTTTGGCTTAATTTTAGTGTATTTTTAATGTTTGCAAAAAGTAATGAATGGCTGCTTGAAAGTTAGGCATTTGATGAGCAATGCTAAGTCGTTTATTTATTGTTGGGTGTGAGTTAGTTCATGAGTTTCATAGTCATTGTACTTTGTTGATGCCATCTATACTCTTGGAACCATTGAGAACAAAATGGAATTTTTAGGCTAAATTATGAAAATTTATAATGTACTATCATATGTTTTACAAAATAACATTATATATCTGCTTGATTGTGAGAAGCCACCATGAAATTTCCCAAGATTTTCTAGTGACTACAGCTGGATCTTCCATTCTTAGGCTGAGTTTGTATTCTCACTATCTGGCTATATGGCACATAACAATCAGACTCCATTCCTATTTTTAGTTAGTACTGGATGGCATTTTGATGATGTTTCTTTGGGAAAAGTTCATGATAGTTTTCTTTTAAAAAAACTGGCGTTAAGGAGTTTAATTTCTGCAAAAGAACTGAAAGTTAAATGCAGTTTTATACTTTTATGTAATTTAACCATTGCTTTAAAAGAAAAGCTTTTTAATTCCTTAGAACTCCGGCTTCAATCTCTTATTGCTCTTTTGGTCAATCCTTCTTCCTTGTATTTTTTTGGATAAAGCTAATGAGCAGAAGCGTAACATCCTTAGGTTCATAATCTGAAGCCCGTATGGCATCCAAACTGATATACGTGTATGAGAGCATGAAAACAGATCAGGCCTAGGATTGGCATGGATTGGATGTTCCATGTAACTTGAAATATTAACTTCGCTTGTTAAGAAACAGGTTTCCTAGTCGAGCCTTATCCCATGTGATGATAGATATTTTGGCTAGTTACCAATTAACAATTAAAAAAATTCTCATACCAAGGTGCTTGCTTATCTTTCAAAATCATTCTCGTCGATTTATCACAGTGGACTTTTCTTGTACAAAATAGTCAGATTAGTTTATATGCTAACATGATTCCTTCCCTTTTTTGCTCCATGTAGAGAAATTGGAGATGGTACAACTGATTCCTGGTTTATGCCCTTGAAGGAACAGGTTACTTTCCTAATCCTGTTTACTTCGCTCAATGTTCATTGTAATAATCTAACTTTGCTTTCACGTGTTTACAGACTGACATTGCATGTGAAAAGGTCACAAAGCTGCTCATATGACTTCTGGTCGTGCTTTTAGTTTCCTATGTCTATAGTCTTCATGGTCTTCAATGTTTCGTCAGGTTAAGGAAATGAAAGAACTAGACGGGGGTTACAACATAGTTGGGCTTTCTCAGGTAATGCTCTTACTAGATTTTACCTCATTAGTGCATGTCTAATCCATGGTTTTGTTCTTCTGGAAGGAATCATCATAATTTCAAACGTAGTATGAAAATTCTATAACCAGGAATGTGACTGCTTTGAAGACACTTATGAGATGCTCTTCTCCCATATTCTAGCTAGTAATGTAAGAGATTGAGCGAAGTATCTGTTTATTGTGCTGTGTATTTTATTAGCTATGTAGGTGAGGTAAATATTGTGAGATAAAGGCAAGTGGTAACAGTTGCCATATGAGGTTTGATGGATAAATTCCTTGGAGGGTTGAGGTTTAGAAGTTAGTGGAATCTTTGACTATTTTGCATGTTCTATCACCTATATTGGTGATGAATTGGTGGTTAATGAATGCAAATATAACTACAGATGATTTTAGGGGTTTTTCCCTAGAAATCACTTTAACAATAGGCAATGTTACAGAAGGCGCTAGACGGACTAGGCGTTCGAGCCGGAGCCTAGCGCCTAGACGCCCAGACGTTTGCCTATTTTAAATTTATTTAATTTTAATAATTCACAAAATTATGTACTAATTTCATATAAAATTATAAAAATATATAAATAATAATCTTAAATCCATTATCAACCATGCATAAATACTAAATAGCTAAAATAGTAACCAAATATTAAGAAACATCACCTTGTCCAACATAATCAGTTAATCACAGTGAAAAAAAATAAAATAGTGAAAAAAGATGAAAATTTTACTTTGAAAAGAGAAGAGGGCTGGCGATGAAGAGGAAGAGGCAGCGAAGAGGAAGAGCCGAGGTGGCTTGAGAAGGAAGTGCAGTGATCAGCTTAAAGAGATGACAGTGGTGGAGAAGAGAAGCTGGCAAAGAGGTGGCAGGAGCAAAGAAGAGGTGGCAACGAAGAGGATGAGGAGGCAGCGGGGGAAGAGGAAGCGGGCGGCGGGAGAGGAGTAGCGGTAGAAGAGGAGGTTAGAGGAGATTGAGAACAGGAGGCGGCGGGAATACGCGAGAGAGAGGGGGAGAGAGTCAGAGAGATATATGGTTAGGTTAAGAGTTAGTAATGGGTTCAGGTTTGGGCTGGGTTTTAGTTTAAAATTAGGTTTTTTTTCCTTTCTTTTGTTTAAAAAGCTAGGCATACCTAGGCGCTGTTAGACCCTAGAGGGGGGTGATTAGGGTCTTATGCTAATCTAATTTGATTATATGTCAATTAAAATTAATTAACAAGTTATCCTAGTAAGTATGAATATGACAATATATGAGTTAGGATAAACAATATGAACAACGAGATATATCCTAACAAAGATATATAGGCAATGTATGTGCAAGGATATATAAACTAACACAAGGGTAAACAAAAAGAACTAGATAGTGGATGAAATAAATGAGCAATGCACAATTGGAGATATAAGATAAATGCAAAAGCAAATGCGCCAATGACAAACTCAAACACAATCAAATGATCACGGAGTTCGGACCTTCCGTCCTACGTCTCCGCTCCCCACTCTCGGGGAGAAAACCACTATCACAATCCGGTTTGGAAGCCGGAACTTCTACACACTCGGTTTACAAGCTTATCGAAAACTCTCACACAACAAACACTATACAATCACACTCTACACCCTCACAAGTGTTGGACCTAGCCGTGTCTCCCTCAAGTGTTCGGTTACAACATTTCCCTAGGTTCGTCAACCGACACCACTCCTCATGGGATGATCACCGACTCTCACCACACACTCCTCTCGGTGTACAAGTGTATTACAAAGTGATCTATATAATTAGGCACAATAACAAGGTGTTTGTTCTCTAATACAAGGTGAGAACACAATGTAGGCTCACACTCAATGTCACACAATCTCACAACCCAATTATATAATGTATGCAAATATAATAAGCTCAATGGTTGTGTGTGTAAACAAAGAGTAAATCAAATCAAACTAAACTCAAATAAATTCTAGCTTAATAAAATGATAATCAAACAATTATATATAAATATAAAGCTAGATTGAGTTTAGAAACACTTATCTAAAGATGACAAGAGAGAGAGGGAGAAGAGTTGAATGCCCAAACACTAAAGAATGATCTCCTCAAGTTCTTGTGAAAGTTTCTTCATAAACAAACTTTTAAAACAAACTTAAAAACCCTTAAACAAACTTGTAAAACTCTTTTTAAAACTATCTTAAACATCCATAAGAAACAATAAAAGTTGAGGGCTTTTTATAGCCTCTTAAACCAGCCACAAACTCCCAAAAATCGAAAATATCAAAAACTAGCCGTTACTAGCCGTTATAGGCTGAAAAGACCAAAATACCCGTAAATTCAGCATTCTGGAAATTTATGTATCTGGTTTTTTAAAATCAATTAAAAATAGTAAATCAACTTCAAAAATTATGAAACTTTGTGGATAGGTTCTAGACATGTATAAAAACATGTCAATGAAAGAATTTCTTGAATATCACTTCCCATTTATGAAAACTTATCTGTTTTGTAAAACATGCACGAACATGTGCACGGACAAAAACATGATTTTGTAAATTCTATTAAACATAACAAATCAATTCCAAGAAACTTTGCGAAATGTTTATAAGCATGAAAACAAACATGTTAGAAAAAGAATTTCTCAAATTGAATTTTTATTTGTGAAAACTCATGTATTTTTTCTCAAATTGAATTTTTATTTGTGAAAACTCATGTATTTTGCAAGTGTGTCCAAAGCATGAAAACTCATGTATTTTGCAAGTTATATATATACATGCATGGTTTTAGGTTTTCATGCTTTGGACACACTTACAAAATACATGAGTTTTCACAAATGAAAATTCAATTTGAGAAATTCTTTTTCTAACATGTTTGTTAAATACATGAGTTTTCACAAATGAAAATTCAATTTGAGAAATTCTTTTTCTAACATGTTTGTTTTCATGCTTATAAACATTTCACAAAGTTTCAAGAAATTCTTTTTCTAACATGTTTGTTTTCATGCTTATAAACATTTCACAAAGTTTCATCAAGTTTGGAGTTGATTTACTATGCCCAATTGATTTTACAAAATCATGTATGTTAGCAGATTTTCAGAAACTGCATATCTGTGTTCAAATATTTATTTCTCACAAATGAGAAATGATTTTTTAGAAATTCTATCTCTAACATATTCTTCTACATGTCTAGAACCTTTCCACAAAGTTTCATAATTTTTAGAGTTGATTTACTATTTTTAATTGATTTTAAAAAACCAGATACATAAATTTCCAGAATGCTGAATTTACGGGTATTTTGGTCTTTTCAGCCTATAACGGCTAGTTTTTGATATTTTCGGTTTTTGAGAGTTTGTGGCTGGTTTAAGAGGCTATAAAAAGCCCTCAACTTTCATTGTTTCTTATGGATGTTTAAGATAGTTTTAAAAAGAGTTTTACAAGTTTGTTTAAGGGTTTTTAAGTAAGCTAGAATTTATTTGAGTTTAGTTTGATTTGATTTACTCTTTGTTTACACACACAACCATTGAGCTTATTGTATTTGCATACATTATATAATTGGGTTGTGGGATTGTGTGACATTGAGTGTGAGCCTACATTGTGTTCTCACCTTGTATTAGAGAACAAACACCTTGTTATTGTGCCTAATTATATAGATCACTTTGTAATACACTTGTACACCGAGAGGAGTGTGTGGTGAGAGTCGACTTTGTAATACACTTGTACACCGAGAGGAGTGTGTGGTGAGAGTCGAGGATCATCCCAAGAGGAGTGGTGTCGGTTGACGAACCTAGGAAAATGTTGTAACCGAGCACTTGAGGGAGACACGGCTAGGTCCAACACTTGTGAGGGTGTAGAGTGTGATTGCATAGTGTTTGTTGTGTGAGAGTTTTCGGTAAGCTTGTAAACCGAGTGTGTAGAAGTTCCGGCTTCCAAACCGGATTGTGATAGTGGTTTTCTCCCCGAGAGTGGGGAGCGGAGACGTAGGACGGAAGTTCCGAACTCCGTGATCATTTGATTGTGTTTGAGTTTGTCATTGGCGCATTTGCTTTTGCATTTATCTTATATCTCCAATTATGCATTGCTCATTTATTTCATCCACTATCTAGTTCTTTTTGTTTACCCTTGTGTTAGTTTATATATCCTTGCACATACATTGCTTATATCTCTTTGTTAGGATATATCTCGTTGTTCATATTGTTTATCCTAGCTCATATATTGTCATATTCATGCTTACTAGGATAACTTGTTAATTAATTTTAATTGGCATATAATCAGATTAGATTAGCATAAGACCCTAATCACCCCCCTCTAGGGTCGGCCACTCAGGCCAAATCTAGGTGGCCAAGGCTCCGCCTACACCTAGGAGTTCACCTAAGCCGCTTTTTACGACAATAGGGTAATTATATAGAAACAACCTTTTATTTTCAATTTGTATAAAAATCACCTTTAAAGTAGGTTTTGTTGCAATCAACCACCTCCTAATCAAATTTTCCCTTAAAAATCAAAAATAAGCTTCAAAACTTCAAGTTCAAGGTACTTGAGCTGTATCCTAACAAGACCTAAACACTATAAAATATGAGTTTTTAAGGGTAATTTTGGGTTTTAAGTGCAGAACCTGACTAGGATGTGGTTGATGCAACAAAAACTAACTTTAAAGGTGGTTTATATATGAATTGAAAATGAAATATGGTTTCCGTATAATTATCCTATTCTTAAGGTGGTTTCTAGGGAAAAGCCCGATGGTTTTATGGAGTACTTACAGAGAAAAGTCCTGAAGGACGGAGGCTACAAGTTAGCCTACTCATAATATAACCGCAATGTGACATTTGTAGAATTGTGAATGTATGAGATGGTATCAAAATTTGTGGCTTAGATACACTATATAGTTATTCAATAAGTCGCATTTAAGCTTAGATAGACAATATGGTTATTAGATTTGTTTCGTTTAAACTATCCTAATGTATCCTAAATTCATTTAATTTCTTGAGCAGTCTTTATCATGTTTTCTTTGTATTTGATTATAGTGGTAAACTCGTGATTGTACTTAAAAAAAAGAACAGCTGATGACTGAGTCCCTTTGTGCAAATTCAATCATTTAACATTGATGATTTATTCCAAGAACGAAACTATGAAGGGACTAGGACCACATTTTTTTATAAATTGCATAGGTATTCAGACTGCAGCCACTAAATGCTTTTTAATGAAATTTGCTTCCTTGAAATAGTTCAGATCTGGTAATTAAAGCAACTTCCCTCTTTGGTTTATATTGGTCTGCCAATCTATTTTGAGTTCAATTTAGCAAGGAGATATTAAATTGAGCTTTCATGTCCAGGGGAACTTAATAGCCCGTGGGATTATCGAGTTCTGTGAAGGCGGCCCCCTAGTAAGAATTTCTAGCTATGTCATGTTTTCTTCTGTTTTCCTTATTACTATCTTTTTTTAGCATCCTTTTCAATGTGGTGTGTCTAGGATGCTAAAGTTGGAAAAGTGTTGTGATGCAGTCTTTTGTGGATTGATAATCAACAGTCGAGCATTTACAAATTTTATGAAAAGATATAATCTTTTGATACTTCATCGCAGATCTACAAATATGAAATCTCTTGAACCATTAGTCATATCATTCATTTGGAAACAAGGCAACCTTGATATAAAATTAACTGAGCATAGTCTATCCATAAAAAAACCTGTCAAGACATACTATTGTCAACGGGTATAGTGAGAGCCATTAAGGTTTTGAATACTGGATATGTATTATTTTCTGCATTCCTTTTCTTCTTTTCTACTTTTTTTTTATTCTTGCAACAATATATTTAACCTTTCATCTTAATTTTTCCTGACTTGATATATTTTACTTCTCTGATTATTTACAAGGGTTATAAATCCTTTCAGCTCCCATTTGTTAATTTGTAATAGTAATTGTTACTTTATTCTGAACTTTCTGAATATGAAAAGACATCAAATTTACTGTAATATTTTTTTGAAATTTCTGTGCAATTTTCTTGGTTCTTAGTAGAAAAGAAATTCAAAAAAAAAAAAAGAAACACTTATTCCTGTTGCGTCTCTTTTATGGTCATTAAGTATAATGATATTTCTTCCATCCTATACTTCCTGCTATCTCTACTCAACTAAAAATCATTTCCCCAAATTATTCATTATCCATATGCACCGGAGGAAAGTGCTCATGGTCTCTTTGTTATTATCCTGTCATGATTGAAAGTTCCTTTTAACTAAGTTATAAATGAAGCATGTGATGCCCCCAGCAATTACCTTCAGAACTGGTCCTAAGTGATTGGACTTCTTCAATTTCCCTTGTTAAACAAGAGAAAAGCATACTTGCTCAGAATATGACAGGTCATACGAAATCTACATTGAATGTTCCTTTTAACTTAGCTACAAATGATTGAAGGTTCCTTTCATTTAAGCTATAAATGAAGCATGTTATGCCCTCAGAAATTATTTTTGGAACTGGTGCTATATGATTGGGACTACATTTCCTTGTTAGACAAGAGAAAGCATACAGTTTAAGCAATGGGACAAATCATACAAAATCTACATTCCAAACTGTGAGAATTTTCATTTTTTTTCCTCGATGAGAGCCTTTTCCTTAGAAATTTGGTCTGAGCTTCATTTGAGAATATTATCTATTTCATTTATACTAGCTTCTTGTGTACACTTGAATGGCTTATTCTTTTTGCACTTTCTCAAAGTTATTTAGGCATTAACAGTTGCCTGTTATTTGTCCACTTACTGATTTTGAAATCCTCTTCTAATTTTTTGAGGGATGGATTTTGTCTCTATTGTTTGCCTCCATAGATATTAAGCTCATTTTTTTGTTATTTATACATAATCTCTCCAAACTTTTCACCGTGGCATTTTGTAAAGATTAATTGCTTGATCAGGTTAGAAATTTTGTCTCACTGGGAGGCCCTCATGCTGGAACTGCTTCTGTGCCACTTTGTGGTGTAAGTTCTTTTTTCTGCTCTAAGTTATTTAAATTTTATCAAGTAATCTACAGATACCATTTCATAGTGATACTTTTCTGTTTTTTGGTTTTTTGTACATATTCATTAATTGATGTACAGCCCACTCACAGTACTATGTTTTCTGACACTACAAATATACATTAAAACAATGACCAAGAAAAAAAGAAGATCAAATATCTGCTACAAGTGTTACAAAGAGATAACAACAAAGAGATTTTGAATTCATGGTTTACAATATATATTTCCTTCTTTACAGTTATGTATAAGCATCCAGCAATACTCAATCTCTCAACACCATATCTACATCAATCCACAAAAAAAGGAGGGAAAAAAGGAAAAGAATAAGGTCAAAGAATAAGCAAAATTCATTTGCCTTTTCCGAAATGAAATGTAACATGCTTCTGTTATACATAAATAATAGATTTAAGGTCAATAAAGTTCAGATTTGAGTGCCTGATACAAATGACTATGATGACATATGTTTCTTCCAACCATGTCCATCAGACTAATGTCTGGTAGGCACACAAAAATACTTAAAGTTCTACACCAGCAGTAACATTCACCAACACTTATGATATAACTGGATCCTTTCCACATTGAGTCTGTGTGTTACTCTTTTTGACATGTTGACACATTTTAAGCAGCTGCCATACTTGTTTGTCAAGAATGTCAAAACGAGTATTGCTAGGAAACATGCACAGGATTTTCAAACGAAGCAGAAGAAAGAAAATATAATATAATTTCAAAAAATAGTTACATTAGCGGACTATATGTTCATGAGCTAGAATTAATGTTTAAAAAAGCAGAAGTGCAAAGCATAGCATTAGACCTGTTAATGAAGCGAGGCATAAGCTTCAAAGCATGAGGCATAAGCCTCATGAGTTTAAGTATTTTAAATTTGTAAAGATTATGAACATATAATATTTAGTGGTGTAATAATTTACAAATAGATACTTTCATGTCCTGATTAGTGAATAAGAACTAAAAAACTGTGAATCATGATGCGAATCATAATAAACTAAGCTACATGCATTATACACACACATGCTCACTCACATGGTCGTATCGAAGATACATAGGGGAATTCTAATTTCAGTAAAGAAAATCCTTTTATATCCTCCTATTTTATCTAAAGCATGCACTTCAAAAGAGAAACGCTTTATGAACCTCAAAGCACACACTTTAGTTACCCTTTAAATGATGAGGCGTAAGCTTCAAGGGATAAATAACCTTCGCTCTTGAGTTTTGAAGCGTTTACCCTTCAAAAAGTTTTGAGGAGAGTTTCGAAAAGCTTTTTCAAACACACCATATTTATTTGTTCCAATCGTTTAAGAATAAGAGCTGAAAAATACAGCCCAACCTACAGAGTAACTAGGGTCCCATTTTACCTCATAAATGCCAGTGTTCGAGCGCTAGAGTACCTCCTGCAAGTCTGGTTTGATTTCTTCATCTGTTGCATCGTTGTAAGCATAAGCATTATAGAATAATGGTTACCATAAGGCCATATCAAATAGTAATTTTGTTCCTTAAATTCTCACTTCTAGGAGCCTATTCTATTTCGTAGATGATGCATGATATTTTACAACCTTAGTCTTCTTGATTAACAAACTTTTCATCATTAGACTTCCAACTTGATTAGCCAGCTAGAACTTCAACTCGAACTAGTACTCCAACAAAGTCATGAGGACAAAGCCTGTTGCAGTTTCCATTTTAGTAGGAATCTTAGGTCTGTTTTGATATAAAAGCTTTTGTGTACTACATATTGTGAGGCTAATATTCTTCTCCTACCACTTCCACTGCAGACAGGAATCTTTTGCATACTTGCAGACGCTCTCATTAAGTCAGAAATTTACTCTGATTATGTGCAGGTACGTGTTTCCATTTTAATTACCTTAAATAACATCTTTAGATCCAATTGTTTTCTGTTGCTAGATGTTAGTAGTCTATTTGCTAACTTATGACGTAAAAATGACAACTGCAGTCTCGTCTTGCTCCAAGCGGCTATCTCAAGATTCCAACTGTGAGTATTGATGTTTTGTCTTGGACCTGTATACTTAGAAGCTATGTTGCATGATGATGGATACACTGATATAAACACTTCACCGCCAGACAGAAAATTCTACAAGATACAGAATATATGCATTTCATACAGAACTTCATGATTTAAATGTTTGTGCTACATATATTAGAAGTCAGCAACCCTGCATATCTAAATAGTTTATGCATTGTCTCTTTTCATTGCAGTCTGACTCTGATTTGATTTAGTTCACGTTTTTTTGTTTTTTCCAAACACATTCTATTTTGTTCAGGTTGTTTTATGGTTTTCATCTGTAACTATCTAGCTGTGTATTACAGTCAATTTTCCTTAATTAGTCAAATGTCAAATTGTAAGTCTTGTAGTTACTATCTAGCAATCAAACTGCACTGGTTAACAACGCAAAGCACTAAGACTTTAGCCTGACTTCTTGCTAATGCACTTATGTTTTAGCGTTTTTTTTTTTCAGATTTGCACTGAATCACTCGTCCATCTCAACATTTTCTTTTCATAAACATTGTTTATGGCTCGTTATTTGTTAATCTGTATATGCCAACCAGGAAGAAAGTACCGGAGCTTATTCATAATATGCAGATGTGATACATCTAATAAAAAGTACTCAGCACTATACAGATCATCCTTCAAGAAAAAACCAAGTATCTGATATAATTGTCTACGGTGTTATTCATTAAACTGCATATAACCAATAATTATTGGTGGAGTGGACTACATATAATGTAGGTAAGCTGGACATATTTTACTTCAAATATTTGGAAAAGGGTTTCTGGTTTCACTTGATTTTGCATAGGTTTATGTCAAAATACTGCAATTGTGTTAATGTTCTGTTCACCGTATCAAGTGCATTACATATGCCATAAGGAAAATTATGTTTCAAACAAAAAGCACATCGAGTGATTATAAGTTGGATTTTTTCCAGATAATTTTTTTTCAAATATTAAATATGAAGTGTGTAGCTACGCATGTGTGGGTGTTTTTTGGCCCTCTAATTCTCATCACAGGCTTAATGGTGGGCCCCTCTTGCAGTACCTTGGCCCTAAACCGGAAAACATGGACAATAGTACTTCATACAACCGAATAAAATAGTGTTATTCTGTTTTTGAGGAAGTGCTTAATGATCATTCCTCTTGTTTGACTAACTCATTTGTTGAGACTTGAGAGATATAATTGATGATGCTATTTCTTTGATTGCTATCTATCTCGATAGGAAGAGTTATATAATTGATGATGCTATTTCTTTGATTGCTATCTATCTCGATAGGATGAACTCTTCTTCTTCTTCTCTTGTGTTAAAAAAAATTGAGAGTAGTTCAAGATAGGGTTAGTTGGATCATAGTAAACACTGTGGTAGGACAAGCAGTTCTTGTACTCAGTAGTGGGTCTAGGCTAACTTCTGGAGTCCATGCCACGAAAGCCAACTAAACCTGAATTTCCAACTGCCTATCCCTTTTACCTGCATGCTTTGTATAGGTTAAGCATGATCCAAACATACCCTGCTACCTTTCTGGTGCACAGTGCCGGTGATATTAAGTATAGAAAGAGAAGCAACCATACAGTTGAGACTATACAGGAGAAAAACAGCTAGGTTTAAGGGACAAGTTCAGTTAATAATAGTGGAGGAGTTTTCATATATATTTTTGTTAGAATATAAAATTATGACCTTCAACCCTCCGTACAACTTCGGAGCTTTGGTGTACTTGCAAAGACTCAAAGATGGTATTAGAGCAACCCATGTTTAAATCTTATTGGCCACGAATTTAAAGCGTATTTTAAAAAAAATTAATACTTGTATGTGAGTGCAGGTTTCCACACATGAAAGGGTGTTCAACCTACTGGGGCAACTTAGAATGTAAAATTCCATCAATCCTCACCACAACTTCGGAGTTTTGTTGTAGTGGATCCAAAAAATTCTTAGCGGGGCTAACGAGAAGTTTTTATTGACCCAAAAATTAAAATGACTATATAAAACAACATTTTTGACAAATAGACTAAATTGCTAACTTAAAGATGGGGTGCAAATATTTTAAATTATGGGTGGCAAGTAGTGATTTTCAAAGAATTGAAATGTCGTTTTCATAA